CATTCATGCATCGTATATCTAAAGAATATCTTTCCCTCCGTTTACGACCCCAACAGAGCAGCAGTTAGGAACCTTTCGCGCTGTCGGCCGATCGCGCAAGACCCCCTGTAGGGCGGTTAACCGACCTCCAAAACCCCACCCCCCCCTGGTGTTTTTCGATATGCGATTTTTGGCATTGTCGGCGTTTCGCGAGTCCACCTAACTGCTGCTGGGCGGTATTTTTATCTTATCATCCAACATGGCGGCCAAGTCGTTTACCCATTTGTTTTCTTCCGGCACCCCAAAAACTATCACAGCTGTCATAAAAAAATTTCAACCGGAAAGAATTATTAAGAATTATTCAAAGATAATAAATACCTTTCAGCCCTTGACGCAGAGTACTTGCTTCAATGTATGCACAACATCAACCAAGTCACTTTGAGCAGCCATGACGTCATCTATGTTCTTGTACGCCATTGGTGTTTCATCGATGACGTCATAATCTTTGCGGCACTCCACCCCTTGTGTAGCCTGTACGTGGTCTTCAGTAGTGAAGGTCTTTTTGGCCTTGGCTCTTGACATCACTYTACCAGCACCATGGCTGCAACTAATAAAAGACATTAATTTTTTTAAAGTATTGTTATTGGATTTATCTACACAAACATGTTGTTGTTGCTGGTATATTACGATACCTGTGAAAAGATTCTGGGTTTCCTTTACCCCGCACAATGTATGACTTGGCTCCCATCGACCCTGGAATTATACCAAGCTCATCTTGCTGAGCAGACACCTGGTGAAGAGAGTTAGAACACAACTAAGGACATGGAGAAGGACTGATAAGATCACAACAAGGGATGTCTCTGCCCTTAATTCTACTTGTCTTAAATATCACCATACAGCTCCTCTATTTCCTTTTCTAGACACAGCTAGCTGTTCCTGTTATGTTCCCATTCTTCCTGGACTGAGCAGGCCCTGCCGTGCTACTCAGCTCTCCCTACGTACCACTTGTTCGTGTGCAGATAGTGAGGAATGGGAACAGCTGGTGCAAGCTATTCTGTTTAATTTGGGAATGATTTCGTGGCATGTATAAAATATTCAGCTAATCCATGGCCAAAAAACCTATGGTGAATAGGAAGTTTGCAAAATGCTTCTTACCGCTCCTTTTCTTGTAAGGTACACTGTTTTACCAAAATGTGTCTCGATATTAACATAGTTATGGTGACAATTGACAGCCATCCTCTCTACAGTAAATGATGGGATATCAGGGGTGTGCTTGGCTGCATCAATCAGTCTTGCCATCATGATTTCTCTGTTAACCCTGGCATATTTTTGTGCCCATGAAACTGCAAACACATAGTTTTTAAAGTTGGGGGTGCCTTCTGTCAGGTATGCCAGATTCTTATCAATCTAAAGAATTGTTAAACGTTCAGAAGAAAATTCGTTTAGTCTTTTGTCTTGCTTTTCCCCACCCTCCCCTCCCCTTCTGATTCATTACCACAGGTAACCCAACACTCTCATCCATGCCAATTCAGAGCTGGTAACAGTGGTGATATCTTAGTCCTTTTATCCAGTTTAAGCATATCAGTTTTGGCCATTGAACAAAAAGCTTACCACAGGTAACCCAACCACAGTGAACATACCTTAGCATTTTTGTCCAGTTTAAGCATATCATTCTTGGCCAGTTCTATATAAATTGATCCTATCCTATTGCCAGGACCACGGGAACCAGAATGAAGCATGAACCACACCCTATCAGTCTCATCCAAACACACCTGTAAGTACAATAGCAGTAATTAGTACTTACTACAGTAAAAAGATATAACTAGCTAAAAACTAGTGTGAGCTGCGTCGGTGTTTCTAATGAAACAGTAATGATGAAAAGGTAAATTATACACCGTGAAAAGATGAAAAAACTTACTGACGTTTCGGA